GGAGGGTTGCCAATTAACATTTGCATGCTAACTGTGGAAGATAGAACCACAATGAACTTCCAAATGAACCTTTTTCTGAAGAGGTTTTTAAGCATCTCAGGTGTTAAACTAATTACTACAGAATTCTTTTCAGAGGGACTTCAAAAAAAAAAAAAGAACCAATTTTATCCTTCTTATTGAACTTACTGTTTCACAAATGGAGGCAGGACAAACCAATTTTCTCTTCTGAATACATTAATGTTAAGGTATTGGATACCAGAGGCATAATTCCTTTTTACTAAGATTTTTTTTCTTCTTTTCTGTATTCTTTTCATCACACAAGCGCCATTGTCTTTGTAACTACCTTTTGGGGTCTTGACATTTATTTTTCTCCTTTTAGTGCATAACATCTCAAAACAAGTGCTTTGATCAGCTGCTCAAGGGATCACACGTCTGGAACAGGGGGGCACTTAGAAGCCTATGTTCTTAGAGGTGCATTGATGTTGGAATGATATGAAAAATAATTTTGTGGAGGGGCACCTGGTTGGCTTAGTCCATAAAGCATGAGGCTCTTAATCTCTGGGTTAAAAAAATGATTTTGTGGAAACAACTTTCTTGCCTAAGCTCTGACCATGTTTATTACTAAAGAAGAATGCATTGACAGATATACATATAAATCTATTATCGGTAGATAGATTTGACCTCTTGCCAGTGTGGCTTTAATGCTTTCTCTCTTTCTCATGTCTGTCACTTAGGAAGAGTGATTGGCCCAGGGGATACCCTGCCTCCCACTTGCACTTCTTGCCCTAAAATAAGGGAAGCAAAACTCCTGATGGAGAAAAAAAATTCTGCTGGAGACAGGTGTGTGATTATGTGGGTGGGGGTATGAATTTATTTTGTAGTAAATCAGTGGCCCATGTTGGGGTACTTTGGGCTGAATGCACACAGAAAACACTATTAAGAAGTCTGGTTTCAAGCCTATGAAATTATAGCCTACTTTCTAAATCACTATCAGAAGCTATTGAATTAGTAATAAAATCAGAGCCAACCCCCCCCCCCAGGTTTAAATCACCACTCAGATGACTTCACACATGTAACCAACAGTATTTCCAAACTTGTTTTCTCATCTCTGAAACAAATCTAATGACACGAGTGCTCCTGACCCAGTGAAATTGGCTAAGGATCCAAATGAAAGAACAACTAGGAGAACCACAACAATAAATGTAGGCAGTAGTGTGTTGGTATCATCAGTCTAACTACCCTTGTTTTCTTTTAACTTTTTATTTTGAAATGATTAGAGATTCATAGTAAGTTCCAAAGGAGAATGTGCAAAGTGGTCCCAGGCACTTTTGGCTCAGTTTTCCTAAAGGAAACTGCATGACTCTTGTACAGTATCAGAGCCAGGAAACTGACATGAGTATAATTCATAGAGCTTATTTAGATTTCCCAAGATTTACAAGCACTCGTGTGTGTGTGTGTGTGTGTGTGTGTGTAGTTCTAAGGACTTATATCACATCTGTAGGTTTGTGTAGCCACCACCGAAATCAAGATAAAGAACTGTCCCAGCACCACAAAGTTCCCCCATTCTACCCCTTTGCATTTACATCCACCACCTTCTCTGCATCCTAATCTTTGGCAACCACAAATCTGTTCTCAATCTCTATAATTTTATCTCAAGAATGTTATATAAATGGAATCACACAGTATTTGGCTTTCTGGGATTATTATTTTTTCACTCCGCATCATTCCCTTGAGATTTATCCAAGGGACATGTATCAATAGTTCATTCCTTTTGTATATCAACAATTGATTCTTTTTTGTTGCTTCATAGTATTCCATAGTATGGATGTACCACAGTCCTTCATTCATCCCTTGAAGGACTTTGGGTTGTTTCTGTTTTTGGTTGTTGTGAATGAAGCTACTGTGGACGTTGGTGTACAGATTTTGTGTGAATGTGGGTTTTCATTTCTTTTTTTTTAAAGACTTTATTTACTTCTTTGACAGAGAGAGAGAGACAGCAAGAGAGGGAACACAAGCAGGGGGAGTGTGAGAGGGAGAAACAGGCTCCCCACCAAGCAGGGAGCCCGATGGGACCAAGACCTGAGCCAAAGGCACACGCTTAATGACTGAGCCACTCAGGAGCCCCATGAACGTGGGTTTTCGTTTCTCTGGGATAAATGCCCAATAGTGAAATAGCTGGGCCATAGGATCCTTGCATGTTTGATTTTGTAAGACACTGCCAAATTGTTGTCCTGACGGGTTGTACCATTGTGCATTCTTACTAGGAACGTATGGGTGATCTAGTTTCTCTATAGACTTGCCAGCACAAAGTTTTTGTCAAAATTTTTTTAAGTGGAGCCCAGTGCAGGGTTTGAACTCATGACCCTGAGATCAAGACCTGAGCTGGGATCAAGAGTCTGACACTTAACTGAATGAGTCATCCAGGCACCCCTCACTGTTTTTCATTATAGCCATTTTGATAAGTGTGTAGTGATATTTTATTGTTTTTAGTTTGCGTTTTCCTAATGGTTTTGACGTTGACTATCTTTTCATGTATTTATTTGCCATCTGTATATGCTCTTTGATGGAATGTTTGTTCATTTTCTTTGCCCATATTCTAGTTAGATTGCTTGTTATTTTATTCTTGAGTCTTGTGACTTCTTTTTTTTTTAAAGATTTTATTTATTTATTTGAGAGAGAGAGAATGAGAGATAGAGAGCATGAGAGGGAAGAGGGTCAGAGGGAGAAGCAGACTCCCCGCCGAGCAGGGAGCCCGACGCGGGACTCAATCCTGGGACTCCAGGATCAAAACCTGAGCTGAAGGCAGTCGCCCAACCAACTGAGCCACCCAGGCACCCGAGTCTTGTGACTTCTTGATATATTCTAATACAAGGTCTTTGTCAGATACGGGATTTGCAAATATTTTCTCAAACTCTGTAGTTTGTCTTTTTAGCCTCTTAATAGGGTTTTGGCAAAGCAAAAGTTTATTTTTGATATTCTGAGGTTCAACTTATTAATTTTTCCTTTATGGACTATACTTTTGATGTCTAAGAACTCTGCTTAGCCTTAGGTCACAAAGATTTAAAAATTTTTTTCCTAAAATTTTATAGTTTTACTTACAGTTGTACATTTTATAAGTCCATGATGCATTTTGAGTAGATTTCTGTATAATGTGTGAGGCTCAGTTTGAGGATTTTTGAAGGTTTTTATAACTGGCCTCTGGACATGCTCTCCCTGTCTACTTTTCTATATTTCTAGACATTATTTCATGTCTACCTTAAATTTCATCTCTTTCACTCTTTCATTAGGCCATTTTTAGTTGTTTTACTCCATAGCGGTCATATACCATCCCTAACTTCTTACCGCCTTCCTGATCAAAGAATGTAATTACATAGATATCCTCTACTATTGACATAAGTCATGCTGATAATATGATAATTTGATAATATGTTGATATGTTTGTCTTTCCCAGTATATTGTAAGTCTGCAAAAAGGAAGGAGCATATCTTTCTCTTTCTCAAAACTTAGCCCAGATTTTGCAGGTAGTAAGGATGCTGTGCTATTTGTAGATTTAAAATGAATTGAGTTCTACCATCCTTATATATGTTAGCAGAGGGACATGTTCACCTATATGTGCATCTATATTCAGATGCGACATAACCCAACTGGATCACTCCTGATTCTCGAACCTGACTGCACCGGCTGGAACCTGTTTACTCAGGTGAATGAGGTCAGGATCGCAGGTAGGATTGCCCAGTGCTGGCTGTGCATTTAATTCCAGGATGCTGTGGGAAGATGTACTGCTGATTCATAAATACCTTTCCAATGGATTTGCCCATGATTCTGCTTAAAGGATACCCCTCGATACAGTTAGAACTTTGAAATTATATGTGTGTGCACATAATATATATATGCACACATAAAACATATCTATGTTGTTGTTGCTGTTTCCCCAGAGTAGCCTCCAAATTTTACCTTTCAGAAATCTCTTTTGCTTTGGTTCCCTACATTTAGATTTAGATGCCCATTAATTAAGGACTTCCAGCCAGTATATCCATTTCATTTTAGTTTTCCAAAGACCTAGTGCTCAGGTGATAATAGGAGCTATGGAATAACCTTTATTATTTGTTCACATCTGTCTCAAAAGTGAAGGTCAGTACATTCCTACATTTTTCCTCTTCCTGTGCCAATTAGTTAAAGTAAGATGTCTGACAATAAATCATGATTATTATCAGGATATGAGCCATGGCACAAGGATAGATCAATTTTTTGGTGTTAAAGTATTTGGATAGGTTTGCTGCAATATGATTGCAATGTTTAATTCTGAGCTCTGATTATTGGTAGGAATTAACACATGCCCATCCCCCTCCACTCCGAATAACCTTTTAAGAGATCATTCTATTCATAGTTAAGAGGATTTACAGACTTAAACTGCAAAGATACAACACTGAGCAGGGACATTGTCACTCTTCAGGGAAATAATGTTATCTATTGGTAGAAATTCATGCTTACAAAATTCGCCATAGGAAACTATGAATTTAGGAAAAACATCCCTTAGCTTCTTAATGTTCTTATGTTCCTGTATTATTTTATCAGTTTTTTTCTTGAGCAATTTTTGTAGAAAGCAGTCTATAATTTTTCTTTCATTACTATGTGGGATATAATTTTTATTTCAGAGAAAAACGTCCAAGCCACAATAACTACAAAACATCAAAGTCAGAAAAATCTATGGCTATGTTTTCTGCTTTTTAAAACATTACCTCCTGAAACAGACAAATGATAAATAAATAAGCATTTGCCTTGGCAAGGGGAAGCTGTTTAGATTGGAGAAAACTGGACAGATCTGGTCATTATCATCAAGGTTCTAATTTTTCTCTTGGGGTTGGCTTGAAAATATTTTGATAAATCCTCAATAAGATAAAGTGAACAATACTATGAAAGCTTGCTTATGGTTTTATATTCTTTCTGGATAAACCTTTTCTTTGTCAAGAAAGGATCATGGATTGTGGAGATCATCTTACCTTGACATCATGCACAGCTTTGGTGATGCCTTCATTTTCCATGGTTTGATGAATGTTTGCTTTATATCCTTCAGCCCTGGGTAGGGGCAGAAATTGCTTCCACATAGATGGCCTGGAGAAATGTTTCTGGAGGCACTCTTGGTTGTCTTGAGAAGGACTGGCCATGTTTTTACAATAAAGTTCCAAATGAGTCCTGCAGCCTGATTTTAACAATACTAGCCCAGGATCCACTCTATTTCTCTTTGTTTGGCCGATGCTGGGCCATCTGTCAGTCAGCTGGGGACCTCCCTGGAAGGTTACGCTATCTGAAGGATTATTTGTTTTGTGGATCAGCAGTTTATCCACTAGCGTTCTATTCCAGGGAGAGCCTCCTGTTTTGAATGTCTAGGTATGTTATGACTGCCCCCTACAGGCAGCAATGAGCTCCTAATTCAAATTTAATCCTAAATCAAAATAGAAAGAAATGATGTAAGTGATATATTGCTTAGGATATAATGACAAAGGGAATAGATTGTTTTGCAAAATTCTGCATTAGTCGTGTGCGACAGGGACTAGTACTTTATAATCTTGGGCTACACAATCCAGAGGCAGGTGGTCTGCTTAATCTATGTAGGTTTCTTAGAAGGTCATTTTAGCAGCATTCAGCTTTGTGGCTAGAAATGTGTGCTGAACTCAGACCCAAACTTAAAGCCAAGGATTATTACACCTAAATTGATATCATGTAGGATTAAATTGATTTTTCTTATGAAGTAATTAGTCATCTAATGATTAAACCAAGAGTTGGCTTCCAACATCGTGCTTCACATTTGTAAATGCCTTATAAAGATTATTAAACAGAATGCAAAGAAATAAAACATAATACCTTTCTCTCAAGGGATACCTAATGCTCAAGTAGCCCTTGTTGGGTCTGGTGGTGCACAGAGGTAAAAACGTCAGGCGTGTATTAGTGGGGATTACAAACTGGAGAAGTTTCCTTCTGTAAAATGACTCCAGGCCTCCACAATTGGTATACAAAACAGACACAATTCCTATCAACATCTCAACTTCCTTTTTTCTTTTCTTTCAGCTTCCTTTTTTTTTTTTTGCAGAAATTGATAGGTTGATTCTAAAATTCATATAAGATTGTAAGGGACCCAGAATATTCAAAACAGTTTCATAAAAGGAAGAACAAAGTTGGAAGATTCACATTTCTCAATTTTAAAACTTATTATAAAGCCACAGTAATTAATATTGTGGTATTGGCATAAGGTTAGACATATAGATCAACAGAATAGAATTGAGAGTCCATAAATAAATCCATACATTTATGGTCAGTTGATTTTTGACAAGGTGCCAGAATAATTCAACAGAGGAAAGAATTGTCTTTTCAACAAATGGTGCTGGAACAACTGGATAACTACAGGCAGAAAAATTAAGCTGAACTTCTACCTCACACCATCTAAAAAATTAACTAAAAATGAATCATAGACTTATATGTAAGAGCTGAAACTATAAAACTGTTAGAAGAAAATGTAGGGGTAAATCTTTGTGACCTCGGATTAGGCAAAGCCTTCTTACATACGACACCAAAAGCACAAGGGACAGTAGAAAAAACAGGTAAACTGGACTTCAGCAAAATGAAAAACTTTGATTTTCAAAAAACCTCATCAAGAAAGTGAAAAGATAACCCACAAAATAGGAGAAAATATTGTAAATCATATATACACAGTAAGAGAATTGTATCCAGAATACATAAAAAGTTCTTACAACTAACAAAACAAAACAAAATTTAACTGAAAATGAGTGATGTGTCTAAATAGACATTTCTCCAAAGAAGATATACAAATAGCCAGTAAGCCCATGAAAATGTGCTCAACATCATTAGCCATTAGGGGAAAGCAAGTCAAAATCACAGTGATTTTATATTCAATAGGTTGGCTTTAATCAAAAAGACAGACAATGAAAAATATTAGTGAGTATGTGGAGAAACTGGGACTCTCATACATTGCCAGTGGAAATATAAAATGTTGCAACCATTTAGAAAACAGTTTGGCAGTTCCTCAAAATGTTCAACACAGTTACCATAAGATCCAGCAATTTCCTCCTAGATGTCTACTGAAGCAAGAGAAGTGAAATATTGTGTTCACATCTAAAGGCACACAAATGTCCATAATTGGAACCAACCCACATGCTCATCAACTGGTAAACAAAGTGAAGTGTATTTGTACAATGGAATATTATTTAGCCATAAAAAGGAATGAAGTGCTGATACATACAACAACATGGATGAACCTTAAAAACATACTGAGAGAAGGCAGTCACAAAATACCACATAGTGTGTGTTTCCATTTATAAGAAAATGTCCAGAATAGGCAAATCTTGAGATACAGAAAGTAGATTAGTGGTTGCCTAGGGCAGGAGGGTTTGAGAAGAGATGTGGAGCAACTACCAATGAATAAGAGGTTTCTTTTTGGGGTGATGAAAATGTTATAAAACTGATGGCAGTGATGGTTTCAGAACCTGGTGTATATACTGAAAACCATTAAGTTGTGTATGTTAAGTGGGTGGAGTGTATGGTATGTGAATTATATCTCAATAATGCCGTTGAACTTTCTATAAAAAAGAGGCAACTTCTTGAAGTGACCAAATGTTTTAGGGCGGGGCCATAAATAAATCTCTTGACAGTTAAAAATGTTCCCTGGTTTCAGCTAATGAAGATATGGTTGAACTATCATTGGTCTGAGGGTCCCAGGACCTGGTTCTGGACTCTGAGAATGAAAACGGAATAGGTGGTATTGGTATTCTCAAATTGACCTGTGCAGTCTTTGGAGCTGGAAGATTATTTTGTCCTCCCGCCCACTTTGTCTCTGTGCAGTTTGTGAATGGGGAAACTTGCATGAGATATTAGGTGATATGTTCAAGGGCTGTATATAGTAGCACAGTTGGGACCAGCCTCCGTGGCTTAATATCCCAGGGCCAGAGCACACTGTTCTGAGCCACTCTGCAAACCAAATCATTCGTGTTTCTCTTTTTCTTTAATGATGTCATTTAGGTCCACCAGCCTCTTGCTTTCATTTTTGCACCCTCTCTTGTGGTGTCAAACCGTGGAGGAAACATTTTGTTCAAACATTTGTTAAGTTCTCTCTAGCACTTTCCCCATGCTTGCAAAAATTCTCATGTTTGGAAACTTCTTTCTAGTTAACAATCATTTCTCTGAAAATTCTTTCATTGTCTTAAATTTAATTTGTTGATAACTTTATCTAGATCTGCTAATAAAACATTGCACACTCAGTTCTTGAGAGATCCTAGTAAAAATTATTTTTTTTGTATTTGAGGGGTGTATGTGTATAGTGGGACAGTAGCATTGATTGGCCTTCCCTGGCATTCTGTGTAAACTAAGTTTTCTGGAGATTACAGTACGAGGAATCTGCATGAAAAAAGAATTTTACGATCTGTCAAAGTTGAGTAAAGTACTTACTGGCAAACATGTGCTTGTTTTGCATTATATCAAGTAAAAGGACATCTCCTAAAGGGTCAGTGTAACAGGCAAGCCTGAGGGACTTGTGTCTAGGAAGCATAAACAGCTCAGAGTGTGGTGGGAGGAGGGAGGTTAGTGGCCTATTAATCTATACAACCCTGACTTGGTTGCTACTTCTGAGAGTGGCAGAAAGCTGGTAGATTGACAGCTGATTGAGTAAGTGTTAACGGAGATGAACAGACAAACCCTAAGCCTGGAGGAGCCCAGCCAACACTCTTCCTTCATGCAAATGAGGCTGATGGTATGCAGATCCAGGGAGGGAAATCCTTACAGGGGTCCATCTCAGACAGTCATGGAAGAGCAAGACAAGGGAGCTCTCCAAGACTGCCCAACTGGTCATGGCTCACATTGTGGATCACCACGTTTGCTCTCCTGGTAGGATAGGCAGTCTTTGCTGTATGTCATGTCATGGATCCAAAGAGTTACCTTGTTTTTCCTTCATCACTGTGTGTTGAAAATGTTTGTGGTAGAAGCATCACTTAGCCATGGATTGATAGTTTTGAGGACCCACGCATGGACCAGACTGAAAGGAATGCATATCACCAAATGACCCTTGACTTTCAGCTGGATGCAGTGACTAGAAAAGATTCTGGGTTGTTTTCCTTTGGAATGAGTGAATACATTTTTTAAAAAGATTTTATTTGTTTATTTGAGAAAGAGAGCACTAGAGAGAGAGAGAGAGGGAACACAAGCAGGGGGAGCAGCAGAAGCAGAGGGAGAAGCAGGCTCCCCATTGAGCAGGGAGCCCGACACGGGACTCGATCCCAGGATGCTGGGATCATGACCTGAGCCGAAGGCAGACGCTTAACTGATTGAGCCACCCAGGCACCCCGAGTGAATACATTTTAAATATCATTTAGAATATGTTCAGTGGGAACGTTTCTGCAAGTGTATATATGGAAAAAAGGGAATTGTGCATGTGCGTGTGTGTGTGTGTGTGTGAACACTGGACCGACAAGAGGCAGCATGGAGTGGACTTCTGTTTTTTTGTTTTTTTTCTTGTCCACCTTTTAATGTTCTTATTTCTAATAATACAACTCCAGTTTTCTTTGGGAAAATACATCTATCCCATCCTCAATCCCTGTGATTTGCACAGAGCTCACTCTGCATCTAGCTCCAGGTCTGTGAACAGCCTGGCAAGTTAGTGAATTCCATCCTTCTGCCCACACACAGTAACTGCTCAAGGTCAAGTGTGTGACTAGTTCAATTAGGGTCAGCCCTAGGACTTTTGCTAAAACTATCAGAAAAGCAGTACTGCTTGTTTTCCACTGGGGTGGAAAATATTCTACTAACTAGTAGAATATAAGTCTGGTGCCGTTGGTGTATATCTTTGCCAATACTTGCACAGAACCAGCTGAAAAATGAAATCGGTTCACTGAGAACCAGAATAGTGAGGCACGCAGAGAGAAAGATGGATTCCTGACATCATTTGAGCAATTCACTGTCCCTGAAGATCTAATCCTAGACTCTTCATTTACATGATCCAATAACGTCCTTAGAAGTAAAAAATGTTATTTTGATAATATTATTACTATTTGCTTAAGTTAGCTTGATCTGTTTCCTTTTACCTGCAGAATAGATGAAGGGCTTATTGGAGTGCTTAATACAGAATAAACTCTTGCTACATGCTAGCTATTATTATTATTAT